AATTCTGATATAAATCAATGATCAAATTGGATCGTTAAATATATATATGTTTTTAGAAAAGCCATAAATGTTGATAACTTACTCTGGTTATTATGATTTACATTTTTATAACCAGCATCGGCACTTTCCATAATGCTCAATGATAAAACACTAGGAAACTCCTTAAATTGATAGGACAGCAAATTCAAAAATCTTTTATGAAAATCTCTTGAAAATGCAGCCAACCACTCTTGATTGCATGTGGTTACAAGGCCATCAGATTTTAAAGCCTTGAGCATAACACACGTATGTTCACCAGTTAACTCATTTGGAGTTTGTCGCAAATAAAGTGGAATAAACCCTGATCGTTTCCAGAATTTATATAATAATGATGTCAAACCATAAGAAACACCAAGATAATGTAATAGAACTGGTCGTTTCTCTGAAAGTTTTAATAGTAATGGTGGCATTTTGTGAGGATCTCGAATTTTAATTTCATCTTTATGAAGATCTGCATTCTGCGATTATGATATGAAATTAGCCAACAATCTTGATAAAATGATGATAATAAAATAAAATGATATATACATACTTCTAATTCAGAGTCATCAACTCTCACCATAGTTTCTTCTGCGTAATCTTCATTTTCTTTCAAAGTAGAGAATTCACCTTGGTAAAATGAATTCAACAATTCAAGACATCGTGATCCATAACCCATCTTCATAAAAAAAAAAAATTAAATGTTGATAGTCTGCATAATATTATATGGTTGTAATTTAAAATCAAACATACCTTCATATAATCAGGATGTGTTGCTATTCTCACTATCCTTGCTCCAGAAAGACTAGCAAAGTCATCATCTTGGAACTGGAGACAAGTTACAAATTGTCAATAATATTATTGCATCATTTATATCTATTATTACTAAAAAAAAATTGTCTGACTTAACCTGCTGTGAAATTAACCACGGGATTAAGTCTCCGCTAGCTCTTCTACCACGCTTCAAGCTATTCATTACTGCTTTTTTGGATATATCGCCTTCTAAACAAACCTACAATTTTATTTGTTTATTTATTCATTATTATTTAATATTGTGTAGGCAAGAGAGAGACATATATGGTATCCTCTGATATGACATTAATAATAATTAGCAAATCATAATCTCTGAAAGAGATCAACTATACGGTAACTCTTATTATATAATATATATCCCTTCCAAAATAACTATATACATGCTTACCTGAACAACACATAAAGGGTCCGGCAACGAATTATCGCCTTTTATGGGGGGTAGCAAAACGAACAAGTGATGTGCTGGAGCATCTGACATCAGTTGTAAATCATTTGGTGAATTCTTATAATGACTAGCAACATAAAGTGCCATCATTCTTTGTAAAAATAATTCCGAAACGGGATGAAACGAAAATAAGGTATCACGATTTACCCAATATAGTTCACATTGTTGCGGATGTGGACACCCTTGAATGTTTTTCGAGACAATGGTCGCATCTAAACATAAAAGTTTATTTAACCATCGTTCTACGGGATCATTAGATCCGTAACGAATAGGTTCTTCAAGTTTAACTTCTCTGAGAACTCTGCCACCCGTTAATGCACCATTGAATGAAGTAAGTGTATTTTTTTTGTTTTTGCCATTCCGATTAATTATCACCATACCATCATCAGGATCTGCGTG